CCCCAAAACCCCAAAACCCCAAAACCCCAAAACCCCATCAAAGATTATTCCTTTTGAAAGTATAAATATTTATAACAAAATGGAATCTAGTGAAAACATTTTTCTAAACAATCTCGGTAAGTCTTAATGCTAAAATGCCGTTCTGGAAAAATCCTTAAGGGAGATTCCAGTCATGTATATTCTTACAATAAATTTTCAGCATTGTTTGACTCCAAATATTTATCATCTTACTAATTTAATAGAAAACAAACCCAATGATGTATTAGTGAGCTTTGATGGATCAACACCTCATTGCATGACTAAACTAGGCGAAAGTATTGCTGACATCGGGGATGAATCCACTAACACTGTCAACAGGTCAAAGTCTCGTTCAAGAGCTCATCCGAAAGTCAAGCTCCCTTTCTGAAGAAGTACTAAGAGTAAATATCGAGTGAAACTTAGTAGAATTTTTAAGTTAGATTTATTCATACTCCGGCTGGATGCATACAAGATATCTCCTCCTTCTTACTCTAAATAGCCGAGAGTCAAACTTTTCTCTTAATAATTATTCTTAAGGCAAATCTGCATTATCAAAGAGCCCTAGTGCTCTAGTTGAGGCCAATATGTTGATTAAAGAGGAAAGAGTTAGCCTACTTTCATACTTTAAAACACCCAAATACGAGAAGATTTCTGAAAATCTACTAGATTTAATTTTTGTAATAAAATTAAAGATGCAAAGTCTTGCCTAAACTTTTGAGCCATGCACGCTCAGGCTTTTTGGACCAAAGTTTACCTAATTTTAATAGCAATTATGTCGTTTTATGCTGTGGCTAATAATCTTTTAGGAATCTCCTCTGATCAAAATCCCTGCAAAGCCACATCGAGGAAGGATACTCAAATAAAAACCAGTGATTCGGCCCATGAAGGTAGTACACAAGAGACTGAGAGCAACAGAAGGATCCCTGCTAGTCACTATAAATTTAAAACTCAGTTTAAGTCATACCTGAAGGGAAGACTTGACGGGAACTGTGCACTGAACCCCCAATCTAAAAACACCAAGTTTATCTTCGTCAATAATCTCGAATCATTAGAAGATAACATTATGAAAGAGGAGGTTTATCAAAAAGACATTTTCAAGAACTTCAACAGTCCTTGCTTCTCTCCAGACTCTAGTTACAGGAAACTGGACAGAAGAGTTGACGATAAATCTTCTATGAGAGTTATAGAATCCATGAAAAAGAACATGCAGAAGTTTCTCATTCCAAGCCCAAACATGGAAGAGCCTCAATTTGCTTGAGAAAATGCAGCCAAAGTTGAAAAAAGCGCTTTTAAAAACCATAGATATCCTTCGTTTTCAGTCCCGAAGCAGAGGAGCTGGCTGATTTCAAGCGACAAGAGTCTAAAACGTACAAAATTTGACTTAAAAAAGCTTAAAGGGAAGCTCAGAGTCAATACCAGATTAATCCTCCGAGATGATCCAGGCTACCTTGATGCCAGTGAGAACAGAGAGAGGCATAACTACAGTGTGGTCAATTCACCAACTGTTGATCTTACTGGACATGAAATACTTAAAAATGAATCAGAAGCTAAGAATAGAACTATTGAATCTAGAGATGAGTCTGTTAATTCAACCACCTTTAAGCTCCCCCAGCTCAGCACCAGAAGTAAGAGGAGAGCCAAGTATTCTACCAGTTCTGCAAGGAAAAAGCTCCCGAAGTGCTTCTTAATGGACGATGATGAGCTTGGTTCATCCAGAAAATCTATTAAGATGAATTATCTTAAGGTAAGCCTAAACTGCTCTCTGTAAATAAAATTTTCTTATAATTAAAAATGTACCAGTGATGATCTAAAATAATTTACTCCGTTTGTGGCCCACATAAATTCTCCAGTCAAATCATGGCCTGAGAAAGGACTTGAGGTTATAAGGATCGGCTCACCCATAAGCTAAATTTCTTCAGAACAACTATGAATTTCTGCCTAAGTCTTCTCCATGACACCAATCGTTATAATACATAATTTAGGAATCTAATAAAGTCTCTAAATTTGCCAAGAAGAAAATTGAGCAGTTCAGAATTGCTAAAATTGCTACTAATGATACTGGCAGACTACTCAAAGCTCAGATTGGCCAAAAGGAATGGAACGATTCCATTAGGTTTGCACCTATACTACATAATTAGGAGGTTTACTTCCACAAGCGCCTTCTGAACTCACTGTTTGGAGATATAGGTGATAATAAATTTATTCACTAAAAATTCTGAAAAATATTAGCCTAATTTTCCATTTCATCTAGATAAACCCAGTTTGGTGACAACTGCCAATTGTTCCTCAGATGCAAGAATTCTCATATTTCTATGTGCATATCTAGTTATAGCTATTTTTCCAGTAAATTTTAAGTTTTCGTAAATTAACTAACATTCGGCTTAAAGACCCTTTGGCTGGCCTAGAACCTCGCTTTTTCTCTATTGTCTAAAATCTGCCAGATTGTTTTTATAAAATAAGGTTTATTTAGCTAATCTGAACAGAGATTGTTTCTTCATTTTACTGTTACAGATCTCAATTGTTATAAATAATCTGGGGTTTTGGGGTTTTGGGGTTTTGGGGTTTTGGGGTTTTGGGG